CACTTTCATATAGTTTTAATATCCCCTTCAAACATGAAAAAAAAAAAAAAAAAACCTACAGAGGACCAGTTAGCCACTCGGACCAACCCTCCGGCGTAATAATATTTTCCATGTACGTGGAGGCGAACACCACTCTTGAGTAATTTCTGTATGGTCTTCCTAAAAATATAGGGCCTGTTCCATTTACATGGCAATCATTGAATACATAACCAGTAGGTTCATTTGCGGCATTTCGACCCTGCGCTGTGATAAAACCAGCTAGGCCTATTCTGTCTGTTACAGATATTATCTTGCATTTCTGCAAAAAGAACAGAATGTAAATACAAGTAGGTTTAGAAAATGTTCGTAAGTGGTATGAAAAACTAAAGGATTAATTATGAAAAAGGGTAGGAATTTTTAACCTCGTAAATAGACTGGCCGTTGCCCCAAATAAAGTCTATGGCACCTTCGACAAAGCAGTCATTGAAATAGTGACGACCAAGACCATCATGTAATGTGTCTTGCACACTAATGAAGGTACAATGATAAAAGCTTGCTTTGTCGCCCGTAAGCGAAGCCGCAGGTGCCTGAATAATTTTCTTTCCATTATTGGGACGGTTATATGTATTCTGTCATCATTAGAACCAAAATTATTTACCAGTTTAAGGATAAACACAAACATAATTTATTGAAAAGCTGATATGATATTGGAATTTTTCTATTTTATAAGGGGATGGTTATAATGAGCTCTTCTTAATGTACTCATTCATCATTTCAGTTCTCTTCCTTCCTCTATCATCTCATCCTAATTAGTAAGTACCCAAATCCTCCCAAGGTTTTGTTTTCAATTCCTTCATCCAAATGGAGGATCGCCAACTCTACTACCCTTAGACACAGAAAAATGTGACTATTAATAAAAAGGTGACCATTGCTCAATTTTTTTTTGAGTACAAAAGATTATATTAATAAAGTTATAAATATTATAAGCGTATGGTAGAAAAAATTATATTTAGGCTAACCTTGAAAACTATATTCCGAGCCACAAAATTATCTGCTTCCAATTTGAATGTAGGACTTTCCACAACGTTGCCACCATCTCCATATTCAACCACGCTAGGATATTTAAGGTCTCCTTGAAGAATTATGTAGGGTTTGTCTTTAGGGATCACAATTTTTTCACTGCATATGAAAAATATCGTATATTTGTTAGGTTTCAAATTTATCGTACAAGGCGAAAATAAAAAACTAATAAAAAATAAGGAACTGTTTATTTATTTATTTTGGGTCTAAACTAAAGGGAAGATTCATTGAAAAGGCTAACAAGTCAAACAAAGCAAGAAAAAATAATATGGAACTTAGTTCTTACACATAAACACCGTGGTTAAGGAAGATGCGGGTCCACAATAAGTTGTTTGATGGGATAGAGTCGATGGCTTGTTTCAGTGTTGTAAAATTCCCTCCACCTCTCTTATCAACTAGGATGGTTCTTGAAACGTCGGGTTGTGCATTCAAAGCACTCAAGAAAACTAGGAGGAGAGCAAGTATTGTTGACATATTTGCTGTGCATCCAAAGCACTATTTTCTTGGCAAAGTTAATTAGAACACAATTCGTTCATCTTATATAGACAGAGATTAAAGAGTTTGAGTGCTGGGGACAACAATTTTGTTTGGCAAATTGAATCGAGCACATTACTCTGCGTCTGGTTTTGGAAAGATGCGCTCGATTAGTTCATTAACGTGTGACGTTTTGTTTACACTTGCTTGCTCTTCTCTGTATTTTTTCGGATGGGTTTTGCACAAAAGTTTAAAGTGCACATTTTGAGACAACTACGAGGAATATTTATCAAAATTAGAGGAGTGTGAAAACCTGATCAGTGGAAATCTGATGACTAAATTACATGGATATCATTTGTGAATTCGGTCACAATAATATACATGCAAAAAGGAAATATGTTGACTTAACATACCATACACCAACTTTATTCCATTCATATTACACCTAATACATTTATATATATCAGACCGAAACATATTAATGAATATTATTGATAAAATGATGACCCTTTGGGTGAAATTAGTTTGCTTAATAAGGGATTAATTATAAGGGCTTAATTCGGTTGTTTTGCCAACCATCCATCTTGGTCTAGGAAAGAAGCTGTATTTGTTAAAAATGCTACTTGTTCATCTGTTAACTTCTTCGCCCATGAGACACGACGGGAAACATCTGCCCCAGGCCCTGTGCAATTCACCTCCGAGAATGTGATTTTGTTCCTGTTAAAATGTGAAAAAAAGAAGAAGCAAGAATTAAAGTTTTAGTCTTGCATATAATTTTAATATTCTCTTTCTCATGAACAAAATATCACTGAGGACAAAAAAAAAGAAGAAAAAAACTTACTCAGAACCAGCATGCCATGCTGAGGTCCAGCCCTCTGGGGAAATAACATTTTCCATAAATGTGGAGACAAACAATACTCTTGCATAAGGTCTGTATGGTCTTCCTAGCAAAGTATGGCCTGTGCCTGAT